TATATTTTTTTCAATATTGAATATAATGCTTTGCATACGACGAGATATGTATTATTGCATAATTTAAGTTAAAGTCACAATCATTATAATCTTTTTTGAATAAATATAATTTTTTTTATGGTTCCAGTTCCAGCATAAAAAGAAAAATATATTTTTAATTTTTATTTAAGTATATAATTATTTACTCGTATATTATATTATGATAGTTTTCATCAACTTATAAAACGTAGAATAATCGATAATAGTAGATTTCTTATCATAATCATGATTTTCGTATATAATGTAGAGGAAAATAGAATAAGTTCATAATATTTTATTTTTTAGTGCAAGTATTTTCATTTTTGTTTATATCGAAAATATATTACATTAAGAAAGATAAAATGTTTCACATTGAAATAATCTATATTATGCTGCACAACGTCAATATAGAGGATGGACGATATATTAAAATAGTAACATGTTTGCTGATGACGAAATTACATTTCGTATTAAGCGAATTTATACTCAATAATAACATTATAAAAATAAAGAATTATATAAGAAAAAGTATGTGAAGATTATAATTTGTTTTTCATATTCAAATTTCAATCAGCCTTCGAGAAAAAAAAATAAATTCATTAATTATAGTAAGTAATCTTCTGGTATTTTTCGTATTGTACTTCCTCCAGCATAATTAATATTCTTTCTTACTAGATTTTTTTAAAGTATTGCTAAAAAAGTATAAGGTAGCAAACTCAGTCGATAAATTTTTGTTCATTTAATTTATAGTAATAAACACTTTTACTATTTATAATATTAATTACTTGGCAATACTGAATTATTGTTCTTTATAATCATATCTACTTATTCTAAATAAATCTAATCGTAAATATAATACTAAACGATTACCAAAGGCATTAAAAGCTATGATTTCTCATCAGTCTGCGCTATTATATTTCAAGTCATTACTTTAATTAATTAACTAATTCATTTCTTTTTTGTATTTTAAGCGGATCTATGAGAAAGCGATTATTCAGTCTCCTCAGAATATACATTATTATGGAAGGCCATGTGAGTTGTATTTTTATATAGAGGAAAAATATTTTTAAACACCACTCTCGGTCTTATCCCTATGGATACTTAACACTTTGAAATCGCTTTCTCTTAAATGAGTTGATAAATATAACAGTTAGTGATTAACATAAGAAACATATAATTTGGTGATTATTGCATTCGTAGAACAATATTTTTGTTTTCAATGCGCATTTTTGATTTATATTTTTGTTTTTAATTAATATTATCTTCGATTAATCTGCACTTGTTTTTCATTTTTTAATAAATGCAATGATATGTTGCAAAATTGTAGAGTATATGAAATAGATGATGATCATTTTGAAATTGTGCTTCAATCGACGAATGTCAATTTAATAAAAGGTATATTGACTATTATATATATATATATATATCAAATATATTTAACAATAAGTGTGGAATATGTTTTTGAAAATTTTACAATCATCATTTCATTATGCAAAAAGTTACTTATCTTAACTCAGATTCATACCTTTTATCAATTTTTTGAATGTAATAATCTCGTTATAATTACACGGTTAATTGTAAAAACATTAGAAATTAAATTTTTTTAATTTTATCATTGTTCAGTCGTCGATCGTATGATAACAGTGGAACTTCATCAGAGAATACTTGAAAAAAGTTTTTTAATTTAAAATAACAAATTGCAAGAACGTGCTGAAGAATAATTCCTTTTTCTTTATTTTTTATTTTTCTTTATTTTTTTTACTCGTGTGTATTTAGGCAGGTAAAACTTCCTATCTACAAATTGCATTTGTACGTCATGCAAGTAATAGCAGTCTTTTCTTCATAGAAAAATTGAAATTAAAATGAAATAATGAAACGTAAGTCGAATATTTAAAAAAAAAAAAAAATAAAAACTAACTTAACGTATAAAATAATATATAAAATCTCTCGATTAATTATTATTATACATAATTTTGATTAATTGTTAAAAAACGTGTTGATGAAATTATAAAAAAAAAAAATAAAAGTATGTAGAAAATTCATACGTAATACATACATTTCTATCTATTCTTGCGCATATAATCGCAAATGCGCAAACATGGTTTATTAAAGAAACCAGCTCTATTTCAGCAAATTCTTGCAAATTGAAATAAGTCTTTTCCAGCACCGTGTTTCTTAAAGTAAATAGTCTTTAACTCTCGGGCACTCTCCTCATTTGCGATAAAGGATTATTATATAGTTTAAGAGAGAAATGTCTACAAGAAACGTGTCGTACAATTTGTCCAAATAATAATGAGCTTGTACGTAACAGTTTTACAAACTCTCTTTTCTCTTTGTCCAATATTCCTGATGAAATTAAAAATTCTTCAAATATGCTTTTAATTTAGACTAATAATTTAATAAACCATATGATGAGGATAGGGAGGATAAACACGTGGTCGGATACCCATTTGTAGTGGAACTACATTAATGTACGAATCGTAACTCTGAAATGAATAAATCAGATTAGTTAGAGAATAATTTAAACTAATACTTCTTTTTTTATATTCCTCTCTCGTTATACTCTTTTATTTTCTTTCTTTTCTATTAAATAGAGAGTTTAATAAAATAAAAAAGAGCAAAAGCATAGATTTAAAAAAAATACGTATTTTTTTTAAAACGAAATTTAAAATTTAAATAGTTTGCCTATTAAATTTTAAATTTCGTTTTAAAAAAAATACGTATTTAATTTTAAGAATTATTTTAATTATTATCGTGTCTCACCGGTGTTCGTTTTTTTGCAGTTATATATTTCCTCTCTGTGGGATAATATGAATCTTGAGAATAAAGAGATCCGTATTGATTGATATAAGGGTGCGCACCATTATCGAACTGTTGTCCGTATTGATTTTCATATTGATCATAATAAGCAGATGGATGAGTGTGCACGATACCGATTTCAGAAGGTGGAAGGGTATCTGTACCATAACGATACGAAGAATATCCAGGAGCATTCATCCAAGCTAGAGCTGTTCACATTTATTTATCGATAATAAATAAATTTCTTTCGAAAATTGTGTGTATCAATTAATAAAATAAATATTCTTAGAGGATTTTTACCATTTCTGGGATCTTCATCTTCTATAAGGTCACCATCTTCTTCGTTATCGTATTCCTCGTTCGTATATCTGTGCCAATTTAAATTCAAACTTTTTAATAATTGTATAACAATTAAATATTAATTTACATTAAGGCAAATTCAAAGTTGTCAATCGAAGTATACACACGCGTGTATAAGTATATATACGTAATGAATCGTAACCTGTTGCGATGTCCGTTTCCCCACATTGATAAAAGATTCCATACAGGTTCAGGGTGAATTTCCACTTCGCGTTTATAACGTGGTTCCGCGTAGATAGGAATGCTAAAAGGATCGTACAACAAAAGGCTTAAATACGGATATTTATAAATTATAAGATTACTTTCGTCCTTAAAATTCGCATTAAAACGAAAACGAAAACGAAAATAAATATAAATTGAATTTTCTTTTTCTGATGGACTTTTAAAAACACTTGATAGTTCCGATAATTTATCATTTTTTCCATAAAAAAAAATCACTTGATCTATCGGTACACAAGGTACTATGTAATAACACGAGTATCGCGTAACGCTAATACTTTTTTCGTTGGTTTCATACTTCGACAAGGTAAACAGAAAAATTCTTCTTTTTTTATTTGTTATATTCATTAGTTTTCCAACGGATTAATTAAATTTGAATATTCGATTAATTCGTTTGATATTATTATTTATGTTCAAAAACTAACAGCTTTTATTACTAATCCGACAATTGTCTTCCTTTTTTGTTTCTATCTTTCATTAATACCAAAGAACCTTTTTACAATCCAATGATAAAGGAAATAATTTAAAAAATAATTGAGTGTTGATATCAGCTGCTTGTCCAACTATATAACAAGTAATACCGGCAGTAATACCGTGACCTAGTTTTCCTGGTTGGTTCCATTCAGCTTTTCGTACGATCACACTACCGTGGAAAACATCCCTCCCACCCTTCTTACCAACCCTTTTCCTCATAACTCCACCACTATCCCCCACCTCTTTTGCGTCACTCGTATCGAACGATAGTCTGCGCCAAACTTCATCTACGTGCTTGTGAGAAAGTGTGCGCGTTTATGCTATGTTATACGTAATACGTAAAGGAAGGAAATGGAAGGGAGGAAAGATCTAACAATAAGAAGATTCCAGTAGATTATATAGGATGACTCGAGAGATTATTTCTGAATGAGAGAATATCACTTATTTTAATTTCGATCAAGATATTATCGAAATGAAAACGATGAGAAATGGAGAGAGAGAGAGAGAGAGAGAGAGAGAGAGAAAGGGAAATAAATAACACCTATATAGTTAAAATTGATTATCTACTCTACGACCTATGACATTTAATCGACGTTTGTTCAAACAGAAGTGTTCGTCACGTATAGCCTTTCGAGATAAAAATAAAATGCTGACGTAGAAAATGTAAAACAAGTATTATACATAGAAACATTTTCTTGAATATAAATATAAATTTAAGTGAAACGTGATTCAGTGCATCAGTAAATAGAGAAAGAATTTCTTTTATAAGACCAGCTTCAAAAGAGATACTTTTATTGTCAGTAAGGGTCGATTACTGATAGGTACGACGACGACGACGACACATCTCCGAGTTGTTCAATACGACTCGGTCGTCAAGCCGACCGCCGTTCCTACCGAGGGCAACGCCCTCCCATCAACTAGCTCTCCCGTCGACTTTCTCACCCCCATTGAGAGAAAGCGTCGAAGAAATAGCGAGATAGTTCGAAAAAAAAGGAACGAATGGGTGGTTGTTTTAGGGTAGTTCAGGGTGTACTACTCGATTTAGTTTCCCTGGGATTCTCATTCTACAGGTGTGACATCGACAATATGAAAGTTATTTGAACTTATGATAATACTGTCAATAATAATAATGATAATGATGATGATAATAATAATTTGTTCACTCACCTTTTTTTCGTTTGAATCGGCGAGTTCTGGGTTGGATATGGCATGTGATATTCCGTGCACGAAGGTGGAACAGTAGTTGTATGAATATTTGGAATTAATTTTTCTAATCGTTTTCGCCGATCGTCGTTCATATAATAACGAGTATAAGATGCTACGTCCGATACTTGAGGGATCTCGTCACCTTCTTCGGTCACTATGACTTTTCCATATCTGTGTAGGAAATATTTAAAAAAAACTATCAATTGAAAAGCTAGATACTTTTACTTAGAATAGATTTCGATTATAATTTTAATCTTACAAATTCGATTATATTGATCCCGAACTTACTCGTAATTTTTATTATCATGTGGATTGTATACATTGCGCTCGTCCAATGAATTTCTCGGAGATTTTGCATTAGGGAACTTGTTCTCTTTCGTAAGGGACATCTTTAAACTATCTAATCCTGCCGCGTTTAATGCTCCTGAAAATACAAAGTTTCATGCACATTCTCGATACGATTGGTTTAACTCTACTCTATGTTTAATTAATGTTCTTTACTTTTTTCTGTGCTTGAAACATACGGGTTGCCTCTATTTTCGGGCTGTCGATTTTGTTGATTTCCGAACATCAACGTTTCCTGAGCTCGTTTCGCTAGGGATACAAATTTTGTGATATCTTTTACAAAATTTTTGTTCGATTCGATAGGATGATGTTGCTCACGTTTTATTCTCATTTGATCAGTTTTCTTCGCATCTTTATTCAAACTCGTGGGTAAGGAAAAGCTCAGAGCAGTTAAAGTGCAAAGTATTAACAAACACGTCCAACTATTAAGCATCTGTAAGGAATAAATAACAATTGTTTTTTCACACAAGAATTCACAAAGCTCTTTCTATAAACTAATTGGGGTTCATAGTTTATGTTTAATATTATAAGCAATTAAAGGCATCAGGTCACTGTGAGAGAAAAAAAGAGGGAAGTTTAAATGTCACGTAACGCGGAATGTCAAGAGTCTATTTTCAGTATACATTGCTGATCAAAAATTAATGTATAGGTATACCTCGTAGGAAGCTACGTAAGAAAATGTTCGTTCGTGTTACAATTGCTAAACAATATAATACACCAAGATACGATAAAGTTGTCGATGTGATAACATTTTATATACAATAAGCCACTTATATGAAACGCAAAATAGTAGTTTTAATATAACATACTTTTTAAATATTGTAGATGAGATCAATTTATTAATTTCTCTATTGTCTTACTAAATAATTTTTTAATATATAAAAAAATAATTAAATAAATGAAAAACGCGAAAATAAATATCCTTGAAAATAAGCTGGGGTAAAATAATGTGTGTGGTTTTTTAACGATATATTAGATTACTAATCAAAATCTGGGTCTACATTAGTTAATTTATAATTTGATCGTAAATAATCTAATCGCACGAAAAGCTTTCCTCAATTTAAGCGGGCCAACTACTGTATCAGAAAGCCGGATATAGTAGACCTAGAAATCGCACACTTGTTGCATCTAGGTATACTGTAGTTACTTATCGTGCAACACGACGCTCACAGCTGTGTCGCTCATAATTAAAGATACATTTCCAGTGATCATCCATTCATTGATAAAAGTCTCTATCTATGACGTATTCTATGACGTTTTCGATTACGTAGAAAGTATCAATATCGCATGATCTTCTCTCTAAAAATGCACGCTTATATACCTCAGGTAAATGTCACGTCAGCCGTGGCTACCGATATTTATCCTAGAATATCGTTTCCCTATCATGTTTATAAGGTGCAAGAAAAAAAAAAAAATGGTGTGCTCATATATTTCAGTCGTAGTTATTTAAATTTGTATACATAAATTTGTAGCAATTATATTAAATTAAATAAGACGAAAATTATGTGTGCTAGACATAAAAAAGATTGAACTAATATGTTTTTATATATATTTTTGAAAAGTAATATAAACGTACCAGTAAGTTGATGAAATATCTAATTAATAAATATTCCATTTCAAACAAACTTATACAAACAATTGATATGAATATAATGTTAAAAGAAAATGATAAGAAAACAAAGAAGATGGAAAAAAGAAAAGGGAGAAAGAAAAAGAAAGAATCAATGAAAGAAATTTATTTGCACGCTATGTAAAAAAAAAAAAAAAGAAACAAAAATAATTATTTTTTTAATCGCATACTGGTATATTATATCAATCGAGACAAAAAGGAAAATTTACCTTAATATCTATTGTGACCACACAGATAGAATGAACGAGTTTGAACTTCGTCGAACGTTCGAACGATTTTTCTTCGTCCTTTTGAAAATTGTAGCGCGATTTGTTCGCGTCCTTTTAGCTTTGGCGGATCTGCCTGGAATGAACGTCGGAGCTTGGCAGGACGACTAGAAAAGCAGTGGCTGGTACGGTCGATCAACCACCCCCACCCTTGGTTTCAACCCCCATCTCCTACCCTCCGTCTACCTTTCAAACACAGAGCTACCTTAGTATATAGATATACAATATACAGAATATATATGTGTATGTTAAAGAATATGAAAGAACGTATATGTTTTGTCTTATTCATATATGTACATGTACGGTTGTATTTCTGTGTGTATGCTTTTACATTCATCTACACTTTCATCCCTTTCTGTTTTCCTATTTCTTCGCCCACACATAACTGCGCCGCGTCATTTGCGAAGAAGAGACGCAATTACGAACGCGCGCATCCACCTACACTTTTTCATTTACTGTGATACATTTGATCTACCCACGCAATGACCCCAGCACGTAGATACCCTCGGGATGTTTCCGCCCCCTTCTCTTCTTCACCCCTCTCCACTTCATTCGCTTCTTCTCCCTCATTCTTCCATTCCTCTCACGTAAGCTTTTGCAAATCTTTTAACAATAATAAAGTGAAAAAGCTTTCATACTCTTTATAAGCATTTCAAATATTCATTAGTATATTATTTTATATAATCTTTTTCTTTTTCCAGTAATTGTTTTACTCGTCTGGATGGTTACAAAATACAAGGTAAAATTTTTTTCAAACCACATCTTCCAATTCATCTCTCGCAACAGGCCAAACGCCCACGTGAAAATGTAAACACCCACATAGCTCTTACGTCAACTTATAGTAGATCGCTAGGGATAACTAGATACTGAGAGGAGCTGAAGAGTTTAATAAATATTTTACTTCTTCATTGCATGATAATGTTAAATCTCAGTGGAAATATTTATTGTCGCGGTTTCATTAAAATTGTCCGCAGAACTTTATTAATGTGTGCGTGCACTGACCAAATCGTGAGATATAAATAAATCTTTTTCATAAAAATAAATTATATGTAGCCTACATAATATGCAACAATTAAATCTTATGACCTTCGTCAATTTTAATCATAATGAAGCTATTAATACGGCCCCCCCCCCAGTGCGATTTAAAATATTTTTTATTTATTTTTAAAATTTTATTTTATTAATAATTTTTATTTATATATAGAGAAGCAAACAATTTTGTGAATAATACTGTTATCTTCTTAGATTTTAATGTAATTGTAAATTGCGAAAGAATTTCGATCCGTTTAATTCATTTTACATCGAATCGCTCGTAAAAGACGCCTAGTTTATCGCAGTACAGAGTTTTCACGTAATTGACCTATTTTCAATATAGTCATAAGAAATACGCTTGCGTAAAATCACGTGCATGAGAATGTGTACAGAAATAAAAAAAAGAAAATTGTATAATTTTAAAGGATATTTAAAGCTCATGTTCATTAATAATGAATTAGTAGATATTACGTCATATTCTATTAATCTTAAATTCTTATTAAAATTCTTCTTCAAAAAATATAATTAAAATTCGCTAATATCAAACGAAGGACAATTTAATTATTGAGAATTATGAATGGTAATGAATGAAAAAAAAGCAAAGAAGAATCTTGTTGAGGAGTATTCTAGTATAGGATACTTGTCATTTGTTGATACCGCTTGATCTAATTTTGCGTTAACGTCCTGAAGGGTGGTTTCCGTTGACGTCAATTGCTGATTTTATAAACAGCGAATCTCCGTTATCCTATGGCTCAGTTGGTGGGGGAATTTACGCGCATATGACGGAAAACGAAAATATAAGAGAAAGATAAGAGAAGAGAACTGGTAAACTAAAAATCAGATTAACAGAATTAACAAAAGAATAATTGAACTGTGATTAGAATCCATTTAGTGTTATAAAACAGAAATCACTAATGATACTGAAGAAAAATGTGGTATATTCAAGGTCAACCAGCTAAGAATGATTACCCGAATAATGTCTATAATTGTAGTGATAAAAAGAAATATTTCGAATAAAGGTTGTTTGTTATTATTTTTTTTAATATAAAAAAAAAAAACAAAAAAAAACTTGAAATTAATAATACTAGAAGTAACATTTAATAAATTATTTGTCGTAAATTTGATAATAATTCCAATTAAAATAACGTAAATTTGTAAAAAAAGTATATGTATCTATTTTAAGTTCTAATACATCTGATAACAAAAACTTTACACTTCACTCTAATGAAAATGTTTTATTAAATGCATTATAATGAAACAAACGAATTGGAGGAAAATGATTTTGAAATCACATTAAAAGAAATAAATTATGTAAAAGAAATGGGACACTTAAATTGTGTTATTTCGAAACCGTGTAAAAAAAAGTTGATATATTTTCATTTTTTATTATTTTTGTTTAATACGCGATATGTCTTTTTTCAGATAATAAAGTTGAAAGAAATGAAAGTCATTACTTATTTTACAATTATATAATAAATTAATAGTACGACTAAATCCCGTTCGTAAATCATAAATTGTTGGAAGGGGGAATCCCAAAAGGCAGATCAATGTTTGTGTAACCATAATAACAGCCGTTCGTTCATACGAAAGAGATATGTTCATTCATAAAAGCGACCGCTACTTTCTTCACAAACTACTGAAAGAATTATTGCAGGTTATTTTTTTGATAAATACTTAAATAATTATCTGCCAAAATTAATGATGATGTCACGATAGAATTTGTATTTTGTCAGCTAAGTTAATATATAAATACATGTATTGATTTTAAACAATATATTGTTCCAGCAATCTAATTATTTCAATATATTAAAATAAATGTAGAAAAATAATATTTTTTTAAAAACAATTAGTATGTTTGAAATTGTTTAAAGTATCCGTGGACTTCCTAAAATGATTTGAGTTGATTATTGTTGAGTTTGAAAATTCGTACTTGGACGCTATTCGTTTCCGATAATTCAAGATGGCGCATCAAAGAGCATGTTCTGAAACAATCTTGTAATTATTAGCAATCTTTAGTAATATTGACTACATAACTGGTTTTAATATATGATCAAAAATGTGTTCATAACAAGTTTCATTTTTCTAATTATAGAATTACAATATGTGAAAAATACATTAAGTAGTCGGTTTGTGATTGTTGCAAATAAACATTAAAACAGGATGTCTCGTAAATGTCTCAGTATTGTTGAGTATTATGCTCAAGAAGAAGTACATGCGTGTGGTTACTGCAAAAGTCCAGATACAAATTTTAGTCATGGTAAAAGCATCAATTAGATATTTCTAAAAATAATAATACTTTATAAAATATTACAACATAACCTAATCTACAGTATTGTTATGTGTATACATATGTGAATAATTAAAAAATTATAGGCATGTGGGCACACTATTTGACAGTTCATGATTATCAAAACTTAATAGACAGAGGATGGAGAAGAAGTGGTAGTTATTGTTATAAACCTACAATGGATCAAACATGTTGTCCAATGTATACTATCAAGTAGGTATACTTTTTTTTATATATAAATAAAACAATCTATAAATTGATAATTTACAGGTGTGAAGTTTCGAACTTTAAAATCTCCAAGTCACAAAAAAAAATTTTAAAACGTATGACTAAATTTTTAAAAAATGAACTAAAGAAAGATGATATTATGGATACAAATGATGAACGACAAGATATTACTGGTATATTTATTATTATAGTTATTTAGAATACAATATTGAATATTCTTTACCTTAAGTCCGCTATGCTTACAGATATAAATTTCGAAGAAATTCCGAATAAGCCCACAACACTAGCGCAAAAAGATATTATCAAATTAAATGTATCATCTATAGATAACGAACCTAATGAAAAATTAAATCCTAATGTGTTAAAATGTAGCAAGAATGTTTGTGATTTAAAGAAAGAATCAGATTTAGACAGTAGTACTTCTATGACTAATTCTGATGGAAGTATACCCGTTGCTTTAAAAACAAGTACAATACAAGGAAGTCATAATTCTAGCAATATACCTTGTAAAAAAGCAAAACTTTTACGCATAGAACGGAAACAAAAGAAACTTTTAGCTCAAGGGAAATCATTAAAAGAAATTGAGACTGCCTTTAAAGAAAGCAAGCAACAAAATAATGTTAAAACTTTGGAAGAACTTTTTGAAGAAATATGGACTGGAACCAAAAAATTAGAGGTAAGATACGTTAAGATAAAAATGTTTTAAATAAGTTAACAAAATCTTATATATTCCAGTATCTCATGAATAATAATTATTAATTAAAATGTTTTCTTTCTTTATTTTGTATTATCAAAAGAAATATTAATATTTATATTATCACGTGTGTTTTATTTATTTTTATATCATTTCTAAAAAAGGATTAGTTAATTGTGAAAGAAGAAAAGAAAGGGAACAAAATTACATGATTTTTATATATTTTCTCATCAACTATAATTATTATAGAAAGAAAACATTTTTTATACTTTAAAACAGAAGATTATTTCAAGTAATCATTGCAAATATAGTAAAGCTGATGTATTTAATAATTTAAATTATTCATAATAGTTCTAATAAAACATTCTGCAATTGCTAATATGGTCCTCTTTTCTCCAATAGTATTTTAAATTTAAGCTTATGAAATATCATGTTCGAGATAAGTCATTAAATATTCAAGAAATTAGTCTTATATATTAGTGCTCTGTAACTTTAAGATTGTTAATTTCAAAGGAATATAATTTTTACAGAATACTTTTCTGTTCTTCCAATTCAATTGCTAACAGTTATGCAGACTTATGTATTTTAATCTAAAGATAATTTGATTTACTTTTCATTGGATAAATTTGTATTAAATTAATGACTTTTATAAGCTGAAATTAGTTAGAACCTCGCCGATGAGCTCTGGGTATCTAATATCTTCAAAAAAATCTTATGAGGTCTATAGAAAATATCAAAACACAATACACCGGATTCCAACAGAGAAGATTACAGAGCAACAGTATACAAGATTTCTTGTGAGATCTCCATTACAGGTAAATTTAAAATGTGCCAAAATCACAACTGTAAAATATAAAAATGATCGGAAGTATTAAAAATTTTGGTTATATTTCTTGATATCGTATATTATTTGTATTTATGTAAAAGTATCAATTAACACATTCATGACTGGCGTTTGTTCGGGCTAGATGTTTTCTTAATGTTTCATAAAATATATAAAATACAAAAAGATGAAACAACAAAATAATTTCAAAAGCATTAGGTAATGTTCCATAAATATTTCAAATAACATAGTGTAAATAATAGAAATTGTTGTTTATTTTGATATTGTACTTATCTTTAAAAATGTTGTAAACATATTATTTATCTAAAGAAAAAATTATATTGGAGCAAAAAGTGGACCTTTTAAGTTAATAATTTATTTCCAACATACAAGGTGAACTACACCAAAAATATGTGTAAAGGTTGTTTTCCTTCACATTTTATGAGAGATTAACTCTAATACTAGCTTAAAATATTAAAATTCCATTTAAAAAATATAGATGATTTACCTTGCATGTTATATACACAATAACTGTATTTTTTCTATTCACAATTACTTTCACAAATTTATTAGATAAAATTATTGAGGGTAATGACAGAAGAATTTCTTAAAACTCTTGATAGAAGTGCAAATCTTTACCAAAAATATCAAATGGCGGTTCACGGAGATGAACCACAGGAATGTAATAAAAAAACATTTGTCAATTTTCTTGTAAAGAGTCCTTTGCAGGTACACTTTGTATTCCATTAAATATTTTGAACTTATTAAAAGTTATTCATATATACTTTATATACAATCTCTAATGCCAGTTATATATTAAATTAAACATCAAAAATATAATTAATAATTATATAAAAATATTTTATATATGATACACATGAATATGTAATTTTAAAGGAATGGACACCTGAAAATGGCCCACCTCAAGGGTATGGTTCCTTTCACGAGCAATACTGGTTGGACAATGAACTGATTGCTATTGGTGTTATAGATATTTTGCCATCGTGTGTTTCAAGTGTATATTTCTTTTATGATCCAGAATATTCTTTTCTTTCTTTAGGGACATTCAGGTCAGTGGACAGAACAATGATGAAATTCTTAAGTTTTTTTTCAAATGAAATATATGTATATTTACTGTTTTCAGTTCCTTAAGAGAAATTTACTTAACAAGACATCTTAATAAAATCGCAAGTAATTTAAAATATTACTACATGGGATTTTATATACATACTTGCCCCAAGATGCGATACAAAGCTAGAATGAAACCGTCTAAGCTTTTATGTCCAGAAACTTATGTTTGGTGCGACATCGAACCTTGTTTAGCAAATTTAGATAAAAATAAGTATTGTAGATTCAATGAGGATATAGATGCCATAGATGAAGATGGTATAGTGGATATTAATAAGGTTTGTTTATACCCTTTCTTTCTTCAGAACATTATTTACATTTTTATTTTAATTAAAAATTGTATTTTTTCAGATATTAATTTTATATCGTGAGATAGCAATGCCTTATGAAATTTATAAAATACGTGCGAATAAAGAGACTGTAAAACGAGAAGAAAACGAATTAAAAATGTACGCTAGCCTAGTTGGAATGAAATGTGCGCAAAGTCTACTTCTTTATCGTAGCTAATTTCTAAAAAAATAAATGACATTGTTTTTCCGAGAGTATATATATTTTCTTTAATGACAATGATGAACAATTTTATTTGTTATTCTAAATTTTGTGTTGTTAATGAATTTTGAAAAAAAAAAAAACAATTATTATATACAAATACATGTGTTTTAACTTAAAGACAAATATATTTAATTATTAAAATGCAATTAATTTCTTATATAGAAAAAAGAAATTAATTTTTAAAAATTTCTTTTAAAATTTGAATATTATAAAATAAATATGTATAATATATATTAATAAATTACATCCTTTATGAAAAATAATTACTTTCTAATTATAATTATAGAAATATTTCTCTTCTTCTACCTTAGAATTAATTTACAATATTGTACTTATTGTAAATATGTTGAACGTATTGCTCAAATATTTTTATCGCTGTCCTCAAATGTAGCTATTCTAAAGAATTTGTTAAATAAAAACAATAATCTTTAGTTAGCGTGACCATAACGTTTCGGATAAATTAATATATCATGATTATAAATGATAACATCATGATGTCTAGATATTATGAAACACATTTACGAAAGCAATATATATGCGACATTTATGTAACATCACGTTTTGTTTCCGGAATAAGACAATTTCAATTACTATTTTTCTACATGCAATAAATCTCACATATAAACATTTTACATATTTAAATAATAAAAATAAAATCGGTAAATCGATCTTTTGAAACATTTATAACAAGAATAAATAATTTAATAATTTTTGTATGTTGCCTCTAAACATTTTTATAATTTATATAAAATGTTGATTGTATAATATAATATTGTACCAATTAAAGTAACATTGGTTTTATATCAACATTTTTTTTTCTCCGATTCCATTCTTTCGATTAAAAAATATTGAAAATCTATCTCTATGTCCTTGCACCTTCTGCCCTTGTTTCCTCCGTATCTGCATCTTGTTCGATTTCATTCCATTTCTGTATTTCTCCACTCCCACCAACAAGAAAGATAATCATGCTCAAAATGCATACAGCAGCACCAATCCAAAATAATACTTGCCACCTATTAATTGGATTCTAAAGAAAAAAATATACTTATATTTTATCAGATTGCCGAGAGTTATTAAAATACAAGATTAAGAAAAAAACAATTACTATATAGGATGTCCGAAAAAATTAGAATTAAACTTACATATACGTAAGGTCTTAACATTTTCGGAAACCCTATAAATGCATATATAAAAATATTCTAACAAATAAATAAAATATGATTGTTATGTAATAAAATAAAAAGTGATACGCGAAATACTAAATAATTATCATTATGCAATAACTTTTTGATATATGTTGTAGATATTATTTTTCATGTTAATGAGCAATTAAAATTTATTATTTTTTATATTTCTTTTTATTTCATATTTATTTAAAAGTCATATAAATTTTACATATTTTTAACTATTTATATGATAGTCTTAATTAATTTCTAAAAAGCTATTATTTACAAAATTACTATTTTTAATAATAAAAAAAATTGTAGAAATATCACATAAGATTTCCAATACCTTTTAATCAAATTCTAAGAAACTAGAATGTAATGTTTTAATGTATTTTATTGCATAATGATAAGGAGCAATATTAATAATTTTAGTCATCTTCTTATTCCAGGTAGTATTATGGATCTTGCATTCTGACTAGCTGAAAATATTTCAGCAATATTTCATGTCGATAAAATATTTCTTAAGAGAGAAATAATTCTGTTTCTAATATCACAAGTAAAATCATTTTCATTTCGTTTTATACTGAATTTATTATAATAACTGTGTAAATTATACTCGTTGACTGAGTAAATTAAAGAGTAATAAGTAAAGATAGAACATCAATTTAAACAACAATTATTATTAGACACGGTAAATGTTATTTATTTTGTGTCCTGTTCTCAGTGATGCAAAACTGATTCATTCTATTTTTTTTTATTGATGAAATAACATTAACTATCGAACATTTATAAATTTTTTACTATTCTCAGAACAGTAAAAAATATATCAGTAATATTTGCTTTCAATATTGTAAGCTTTGATCGCAGGAAAAAAGATTTTCTGTATTGAATAAATTTTGCTCCTTATTGTATACTATAAATGCTTATGGAAGCATCACGATTGACAATAACGAACGCTTGATACATTAGAGACAAGCGTGTACGAAAAGCAATGCGATGTGAAACTTTTATTGACACGATTTGCGCATAAAATTTTATCTACTATAAATTATTGATTTACATAAAAACGAGTAATATCTATTAGTCGTTATTATCACGAGTCTTACTGAAAACTTCTATACTGTATAAAGAGATATATAAAGATATAATAATTATTACCACCTCAAATATCTTCGTTATTTTTATAGTTTATGAAAAAATATTCAGAACAAAGTTAGACTATTTCAAGATATACACACATACAATGATAAAAATATTTTTTTCTCAAAGTTATGATTTTATAAAATTTTAAGATTATCTATAATTTTTCAAATGAAAGACTACGATTTTTTTTGCACGATTAATCCCTTTTATTATTCTTAATAAAAGGATATTAGAACAGGCAATCAAAAAATACTTAATTAAATAGTTTTTAAAAAAATGTTTAATCTTTTATTCGATTCTAATAAATTATATCTAATTTTTGAAGAACAAAAAATATAATATGGTTGACTAACTAATAACGATTATATTTTTTATTATAAGCTCATTAACACCTTGGCTTATAACTACGAGTGAGACTCGTGATAAAGAATTTGTGCCATAATCGAAACACACGAGTCTGACTCGTGGTAAAGAATTTGTGCCATAAGATAGATTTTTGCATAAAATGCCGCGTATTATTATTTGAATCAGCGAGATTGTGGAGTTATTTCACATCGAGTATCTTTCCTTGGAATGTTAGTATTCGCTTTTAATCAGAATTTTATTTTTATCATTTGTTTCTGACAAAATTGGATAATTTCTTTAGTGCAGCGTAAAACTTCGTTCGTTCTTTTCAACAACGCGACCGAACTTCTTTTTTACTATGGATCGCGCGATTGGCAGATGTCGTGTAGGCCAAGGAGTTAAATTTATTATGCAAGTGCGGTGTATGTACACTTGACATATAATCAACAAAAATATACTGTAATCATGAAGTCTAATAAAAAATGATTGAAAAACTATTATTTCCACAAAAGCAAAAGTCAGGAAAATAATTAAGGTTGTAATAATTATTGATCAATTTGGTGTATATTATAAATTGGTGTTACAGAAGATTCCTACTGATTTATATAAGCATATTACTATAATTAAAATAATGCAAAAAGATTAGATATATACATAACTTTGAAATTGCTATGCTGAAGATGAGCTTGTCAATAATTATTCTATTTGTTTATACCGTTATGTGGAATTTGAAAATGTGTAAATAATCTTCGAGTACTAGTAGACTTCGCTATATATAAGCACAAAACCTGTTTATGATAATCTTTTTACCGGTTCGATATTACTTAAAATGTTCCTCTTTCCTATAGTTGTTAATAAATATCTACACTTACTTATTTATTTTAAGAATCTTTCGATTTAGAAATAACCGATGATTTTCCTCAATAAATTTCGTTGAATAGATATTACAATAATTATAAATAGCGTTTAAATATTTGCATGTGTCTCATATAAAATTATATGGCATTTTTCTTTTACTACAGTATACAACCATTCTTTGATTGGGTCTAATTGGAGCTATTATATGATTAGATTAAAGATTCGTTATGAATTGAAAAAAAAAAATTTCGTTTATGCAAAGAATGCGCCTGTGCAATTTAACAGAAACCTTTTGGAACACCTTGTATATTACAATAATCTTGTGAAATTAATTTTATTAAATGAACAGACTTACCCCATGTTTGCCTGCTATTTCTTCCACCAACACTGGTATTATCATTCCGGCAGTACTGCCAATAGTATTCATAATACCATATAAAAAACCGGCAAAGTTAGGAGAGATATCTTGATTATTTGAGAGATTCGCTATACTTGCTGCTCCGTTGAAACCCAATGCAAGGAACAAAAATATGTTAGCGAGAAATAAAGAGCATTCAGCATAACCAACTAATATTAGAAAGATTCCTGGTAATAGGTGAGCTAAATAAAAAATATTAATAATATTATATATTTATAAATTACAATTTTACATTTGTAAACGTTTACTACTTACAAAATACAGTCGCAGCTTTTCGAAGATTAGTGATACTCATAATTTCCTTCTTTTTAATAGTATCACCGGCCCAACAGAAAAAAAAGCCAAATAGCATTCTTCCTGCCCAAGGAAGACCAGCAGCGGCACCACCTTTGGTAAGTTGGAAACCTAGTGCTTTCGTCATATACAACATCAACGAATTTTGGTAGAAGTAGAGTAAAAAAAGATTGCCGAAGTGGCAAGCAATAAGACTGAGGAACGGAATCGAAGTAAATATCTTTTTTAACGGTGTTTGCTTTAACGTAGGTTTTTGCATTTTGACTATTCCAGCCTGAGCACTGAAAGTATATAAAAGAAGTAATCATAATACTGATTATTTATTCATAAAAAGCAAAATCAATCATTTGTATGATAATTTACTTTAAAATATACTCTTTTTCCTCTTCGCTTATACCCGGATGTTCCGTAGGTGAATCATAGGTTAACAATGCCCAAAAAATTATCCATACAAACATCAACAAGGAAGGTATATACCATGCAGATTCCCAATTTATATAATCAGCGATAGCAGCAACCATGGGATACGTAAAGATAGTACCAAACGTACCACCTAAAAGAGACCAAACAAAACGCGCTCGTTCATTAGGAGGTGCCCATTTGGCGACTAATGTGTGACAAGCTGGGAAAGTGACACCTCCTGTAATTCCTATAATAATTCTAGCGATTAAAAGAGCACTCCAATGGATTTGCGCGATCAAAGGACTGATTAGACATATAGAGGCCGCTAATATGGACGTCCAAAGAACCGCACGTCTGGGACCCCATCTTAAGGACATCAAACCACCGATGAAACTTCCAGGAACAACTCCGTAACTGTAAGCGGCTATTAATTGCCCGCGAATTTGAGGACTCCAATCAAAAGGTAATCCATTAAAAAGTTCAAAATGTGAAGGTCGAATTTGTTGCTCGACTATATCATCTGTTTGTCGACGAATACGTTCGCCTCCATCTTCCACATCAATATTTTCAGATTCGTGGAAATTCAATCTTCCAATCAAGTTAAATTCTTCAATAAAATCAACCGGTTCGAATATTAGAAGAGATCTTCGATGACGTTCAGCATCACTCACACAAGCACCGCTTACAGCTTCACTTGGAAGAGCCTTGATCATTGGTACCGCTAATATAGGCATTTGCAAACGACACATGTAACTGGTCCAACAACAGGTGAACATCATTAAGCATATTAATATCCTTGTTGGAATCCATCCTGAAATAACAATTACGAGGAATTTTTAACTGATTAATTTATAATTATGCACAATCGGAATGACGAATACATTAAACTTAAGACGGTTGATATTTGATCGGATCGTTTTACAGATTTCTAGTAACTTACGTAAAAGCTTCCAGATGAATGTAGGATATCTTCTAAAAATAATAATACATACGGTTTAGTAGTACTCGACGATCGATTCGCAAGCTTGCCGTTTTTTCTTTCTTTAAAGACAATGATTACGTGAAAGAGAAACGAATTTATTTGCGACTCGGTGATCAAGTATTACCAAACGTACATTGCAGTAAACATTGATGCACATCACCGTCAACAAGCTGATAGAACTATTACAATCACTAATCTATATGAATCTTCAAGATCTATTGTTTAAAATTGAACTTGGAATGGAAGCTTTCTTATTTCTAATCGTTTCTAACTGTACCGTATTATGATGTTTAAATCGTTATAGCAACGAATATAATCATGAAGTTGACTGTTATATTTTTCAATAGAATAATTTCATTTTCTCGAAGATTCTCGAGTTCACATTAACATGTGAATTGAAAAAAAATACTTTGACGAGTGACGAAGTACAAACTTATATGAAACACATTTCAGTGTATGTATGCTTATAAAATATTATACGTAAATTTAATGTCTATGATGGGGACGGAAGAATTAGAGTGTGAGGAAAACAAAAAAAAAGAACTTAAACGGAAACATTTAAAACCTACGGTGCAACACGACGGCGGCATCGTAATGATATGGGGATGTATTTCCAGTTTTGGTGTTAGAGAACTGGTTTTCATATAGACAACATTTTTGATAAAAATAAATATTAAAACATTTTAAAACATAATAAAAAGAGTGCTGCAAATATGGGGATTGAAAATAACTTTAAATTTTATTAGAATAATGATCCCAAGCATAAAGCCCGTATAGTGCAAGAGTACCTGCTCTTAAGAGAAGAGTAGCAAAAAATTAATATTGTTTAGTTGCAGAAAATAGTTCATAATATCTCAAAACGTTTAAAATATGTCATGAAAAATAAAGGGTATCCAGCAAAATATTAAATAACTATAAATAGAAAAAATGTAAGAGTTAATTTTATTATTAAGATTTGTAAAATGTCCCAATATATTTTTGTGACATAAAAATTCGTGTCTTTTTAGATTTTTCTGCAATATTTAAACAAACGTATGTAAAAAAGCAATAGTTTTTTGTTTCTGATATCCATAGACTGTACTGCAACAGAGTGTAATATTAATTTATTATTTATTGTATATTTGTTAACGACATTAGATGTGAACGTCAAAATAGTACTGGTGTTTTAATATTTTTGTGACCGACTGTACATATAACTAGTCTCCAAATAAATTCAAAAATTTCGGATGATTATGTAGTGATCTCGAAATTATGGATTAAAAATTCGACTCAATTATTTTTATTAAAGAATATCATGATAGTTCATGTTCAAGGATGCATCAAAAGCACTTGGTTACATATTAACCGTCGATGTTGTAATATCGTGACTTGAATAGGTAGGTACGAGAAATCACTGTGAAATAAAAACTGCAATTTATATGTTCTCTTGTTCTACCGTTTGAACTGTCGTAGCTGCTAGACTTGCTAGGATAATCTGTACTATCAAATTACAAAATATTTGTGAAGAAGTATGCATCGATTTTGCTATGTAATATGATCTATAATTGCTTAACCTTGTAGTAAATCGATGAAAATAATAAATAAATACCCTTCTAATCGTATTTATTTCGTTTATTTTATGAAAAATAACATCCTTATTTATTATTTGTAAAACATAACAAATTTTACAGATGTTTTAAAAGATACTTCAAACAAGTTAGGCTTTAACTAAGAAGGTTAAATAACGGACGCAAAATGCAAACCATCCCAAAAATGCCGAAAGCAATCGTAATCGTCATGTCGCGAACTACAAGAAATTTACATTTGCTGAGGATCAAAGGATTGACAATGGCGTAGCAATTTACGTTGAATTTCATTATTTCACACTTATGCAGAAAAATCAGGTCACGCGAATTTCTAAAAATGATATCGCAGAATAGCAAATAAAATCGAATTAGATATGTGTATAAAAGTTGTCTACATATACATATAAATATGAACATATATAATATCACCAATAAAAATATCCTAAGTCAGGATGCAAAGGGGGGGGGGATAGAGGTATTAAGAAGAGTTATCAGGAAAAGAAAGGAAGCAGAGAAGAAGGAAGAAAAAGAGAGAAGAGGAAATTGTATATAGAAGTGAATTGTTATGTTGTTAGTTAGTTAAAAAAAAAAAAAAAAAATTAGTTTTAGTTTCAGTTTTGTTTTAAAGTTTAAATGTATTGAGATATAATATATAATAGTTTGTTGAATTTTTGTAAAAGAAAAATTGTATCGGAAGCCCTCCAAACCCGAAAGGGACGGATTAATAAATAAATAAATAATATCACCAATATTAATCATATTACGCTACTGTAAGGTAGAAAAGAAAACCGTTGACTTTCTTCGATATAAACGTACGACAATAATGACAACAAGAGTAGAACATCGAAAGAAAGTCAGCGATTCGATATATAAATGACATGTTATTCATAAAAATATTATTATCGTAAATTACTAAGCTGTAATTAATAGATAGCTGTACCATTAAATCACCGGAATGGAGTGCATTTTATATTGTTATAGCTACTTTTACCAACGACTAAGAAAATCGTGTCTAAAAAACGCATTACTTTCACTTACAATTAGTTACACTGCGCGCTTCATAAAGAATAACATATTTTTCGCGATTTTATATTCTTTATACCTTTTTGTAAGTAATAATACTTTATTAATTTGCTCTTTTAAGTTTTCAAGAAAAAAGTAAAAACTAAAAAAAAAAAGTTCGAAAAAGGCATGTGCTTTTCCCCCATTAATTTTAAGAAATCATAAAAAAATATGTATATTGATTGTAAGTGTTAATTAGAAAATTTCTAATAACAAAATATTTTAATGTTCTTTCAAATATTTGAATTAAATAACTTACTTGAAATGTATATTTGGAGCTTATTGTTTATTCTACTCATTGCAAAAAAAAGGAAAAAAAAGAAATTACACTTAACGATCTCTACTTGACACAATACTCGTTCGTGAAAATAATTTGTAAAATGTTACAAGATAAAAAATTCAGAACTTGTCACACGAAATAGACTCTACCAATCTAAATGAAGGACTGGTGACATTGGTCATCAAACCGCGTATTTATATAACTTACAGCAGGTAAAAGTGCAGTAGTGGGGTTTGGATGAGTTTCTCTTAAGGGTAGCAACTTTTTCTTTTATCTTGAACCTTTAAATAATTTGTATATCTTCCATTAATTTGAAAAACGTGGTCTTTTCGAATTATTATTTGAATTATTATTATTATTATTTGTTGTTGTTTTTATTATTATAATTTTAATTATTTCAATTTTATATAAATCAATTAATAACATATTTATATTTTATTATAATAATAATGATTAGATATGATGATATTTATATATATCAGATGTAGTAATTAATTCGTTGCTTTTGTAATAAATTTAGTATTTACTTATAAAGTATCTAATCACACATCTGTTATTCTTCACAATAGTTTTCCTTTTTTTGGAATACCTTGTTCATCGAAATGGCGGTTATAAAATGGCAGGTGATTATTTACATTTAAACCAGAATTATAAATAATTTAATATAATTTAATATAGATAACATTTAATTTTTTCATTACTATAGCTGTTTCGTATTTACATCTTATTTAAATATATACTTTTGAATTAATTTATTTACGATCACTTACGAATATTTTTATAAATATCTCTTTTCTTATTTTTTTCTTAGTTTTTCCCTCAATATATTTAATTATTTTTCTGTTCTTATAAAAAAAAGTATATTTTATAAAAAATTATAAATAAATACAATTTTTAAAATTTACGAAAGATTTAAATTTACCATTAGATCTTTATTATATAATTTTGAAAATAATAGTTTTCGTATAACTTCTTTAAATCCATATAAAAATAATCTTCAAATCAAATATTGTCGTAAGTGCACACCTATTTAGGTTTTCTTATTTTCGATCTATGATCTTAAACTTAAAATAAATATAGATAAATTTTAAAGTAATGTATTTCTCTTTAGAAAAGAAAATTGATAATCTTGTCTTTTTATGAATTGTAAGTAATTTTAATAAGTCACGAGAGATCACGATATTTGAAATCCTAAAAAAATTTCTCGAAAATTAAAAATTAATATTGATTATAGATTGTCCAAGGAAAATAAGTACTGGGAATTATATTTTTTCCTAAAATTCTAATTGTCCTATAATTAGTAATTTATTAAGCACAGTAGAAAAACAAATACATATTTCACAATTAACTAATATATTTTTAATATGAATATTTATCGAACTATGTAATATCTTTAATACGAATGAACTTAATAGATAATTTTGAAATAAATAACAATTTTAAATGCACCAACACCTGAACTTGTAGGGATATTTATTGAAATGATAATAATTTATTCAGATAAAAAACTCATGCTATATATTTTATGTTAATATCCGTTTAAGTAAAGTCCAAGATTTATCAGTTGCGATAATTATTCAAACGGAATATCATTTTACAACGAATTGTGAAAATATTTTTACTTGAAGTTTACTTAGTCATTGATTTAAACGAAACAAAATCAAATAAAATAGTTCATTGTAATATATTGAATTTTTGAAAATTTTCAGAAAAATGAAAGACGGTAATCAAATAATGGCAGAGGCTCTTAAAGAACAAGTGCGTTTTTATAAATTGATATTAGATTTTAGAGGTTATGAATAATTTTATGTTTGTCATTTAATTTCTTTAATTATTTTTATTATTACAAATACTACTTTGAAAAAATGAACGAACATAATTGAATATAATTTTATATTATGAAATTTGTATTATTCGATATTGAATTTATTTAAATAACCATAATTAATTACTTTCTTTATTTTGAAACTTCATATTTAGAAAATATATTATAATTTTTAATTGAATTGGCGCTTATATAACTATCGTATTAAAATTAGTGACCATTCTCAGCTTAGAATGTTCTTCTTCTTTTCTTTTCGAAAAATAAATTTCTTACTTTTTTAAAGAAAAAAATTTCAAAATTATTAATCTAACTTCGAACATTATAATTTAATTTTGTCAGCAAAATATTCATATGATTTTGGAAATTTAGATTTTATAATAAATAAATAATAGATACAGTTTCTTTAATATATTATATTATAATATACATAATATATTATATTATTCATGAAATTATTCATTACATTTTAATGATATTTTTAATACACAAATGATAGACGAACCAATTGTAATATTTTGTATGTCTTACCTCTATGATTCTTATGTTCTTTCTGTGATTCAATAAGTGGTGTTCGAACATCATCTTCTCCATAATCCATATAGACTTACTATATCTTTATTAGAAATTAATAATTCTACAATAACGTTATTACGAGTAAATTAAATACGAATAGTTATTGATATATGTTCTCTTATTAATGTAATAATTTTGACAAAAATATAACTTATTTCTTTGTTATTTACTCGTTAACAGCGTATTAAGTACTATTTTACGATACAAATTGAAGAACGTGATAATACAACATATATATATATAGATTTAATATAAAAGCTTATCTTTGCTTTTCCTACTGCAAGTCAAATAATCATTTGTATACAAATCCCTATATCCATATCTTTATACAAACTTTTTAAATTAAAATTATAAATAGAATAAATTGTACTCTATTTCAATAAAATTATTTTTTTATGACAAATATTAATGATAATAATGACAACTTTTGATCCATTTCAATCCAATTTAATTTGGATCCAATAATTACTGACTTGATTAAATTTGATATCACTATTCATTAACTATTGTTTTACACCTTTGTTTTATATAACTATTCATATAATTTTATAGGGACTAGAATATGTTTTTGGTATTTGCGGACATCCGGTAATAGAGCTAGCTATTAGCATGCAATTAGTAGGTCTGCGATATCTAGGATTCAGAAATGAACAATCTGCATGCTATGCAGCTCAGGCTTATGGTTATTTAACAAGTAAATACTATTAATCAAATTCAATATTTAACACATTATATATATATTTAGAGAAAAGATAATTTTAATGATATTAAATTTATGATCAATTAGAAAAGCCTGCAGTTGTATTATGTGTATCTGGACCTGGCTTACTTCATGTTATTGGTGGCATGGCTAATGCACAAATTAATTGTTGGTAAGAATATTTTATATAAATCTAATGTAATATTTATAATTTTAATAATATATATAATAAGATATTAAATTACCCAACAAAATCTTTAATTATGAATAATTATTGATTATAGGCCACTTTTAGTAGTAGGAGGTTCATGTTCTCAAGATCATGAAGGTATTGGTGGTTTTCAAGAATGGCCTCAAGTAGAGGCTAGTAAGCCTTATTGTAAATATGCAGCAAGACCACCATCCGCAGCTTTGATTCCTTTGCATGTAGAAAAAGCAGTACGATATGCAACCTATGGTAGACCAGGTATATAGATGTATATTATAAATATTATTTCACATTTTTTTTTCTATTATTTTTTATGTTATTTATTATTGTTTCAAGTTTCTGTAAATGTAATACTTTATCTTTTATTTAAAGGTGCAACTTACTTAGATTTACCAGCTACGATATTAACACAAATGGTTGATGAAAATAAAATTGCACTAGTCTCACCTTGCCCTGAACCACCACTCATATTTCCTGATAGTAGAAAAATTGAGGAAGCTATTAATATATTAATACAATCAAAAAAACCATTGGTTATAATAGGAAAAGGTAAAACAATTTCGTTTCTAAATTAAAATATTTAAAAAAAAAACCCTATACAAATAATAATTTTTTTAAATAATGATAAAATTATAATTGTTTTCAAATAATTAATATCAGGAGCTGCATACGGTCGAGCTGAGCAACAAGTTCGGGATCTTATCCATTTAATCAAGGTTCCTTTTCTTCCAACACCCATGGGAAAAGGAGTTGTTCCAGATACAGATCCATTGTGTGTTTCAAGTGCAAGAACATGTGCTTTACAACAATCTGATGTAATATTATTACTAGGTGCTAGACTCAATTGGATGTTGCATTTTGGGCGTCCGCCTCGATTTCAAAGCACTGTTAAAATCATACAGGTATTCAGATTAGTGTTATAAGAAATTAATTATATTAACATTCTGATTTATTTAAATACTTTACAAATAAATCAAATTCATTTTAGGTTGATCTTTGCGCAGAAGAATTGCACAATTCCGTTCCATCTACAGTTGCTATACAAGCTGATATTAAGTGTACAGTGGAGTGTTTAATAAAAGCATTACAGCATCGAAAATGGTCAGTTGCTAAAAATAATCAATGGTGGAATAAACTTCATTCGGAAGCAGATAAAAATAAAAAAATTGTGCAGGTAAAATTGCACTAATTACGTTATATTGTGAACATGTTTAAATATTATTGATAATTGTATATGATATTTTTCCTTGCAGCAAATGTCCTTGAATGAGTCAGTACCATTAAATTATTATGCAGTTTTTAAATGTATACAAAATTTTATACCAAATGGTAAGTTTATATTTCAATATTATAATTTATATTAAGACTAATTATATCTTATGATTTCTATAGACTGTATAATTTGTTCCGAGGGTGCCAATACAATGGATATTGGACGTACTATTCTGTTAAATGATTTACCTCGTCATCGCTTAGATGCTGGAACATTTGGTACTATGGGTGTAGGTCTAGGTTTTGCAATTGCAGCTGCTCTATATTGTAAAGATAATGCACCTCGAAAGAGAGTGTTATGCATTGAAGGAGATAGTGCATTTGGATTTTCTGGAATGGAAATTGAAACTATGTTTAGGTAATACTTCATTTTAACTTTTGTCTAGATCCAAGATACTCTTTTGAAAGTATTGTTATTATTACTTGATCATAATTGTTTTAATGTATATTATTTTTTTAGATATCAATTACCTATTATTATTATCATAATAAATAATAATGGTATATATAATGGTTTAGATAGTAAAACATTTAAAGAAATACAAGCGTCTGGTGAACCAACAGAAGCGTAAGTTATTCCACAATTAGATATAATTAAATATAAAGATTTATGCTAATTAAAAATTTTATGGTAAAGCATCCCACCTCATAGCTTAACATCTGAAACTCATTATGAAAAAATGATGGAAATGTTTGGAAAGAAAGGTCACTTCTGCGTAACCATAGATGACATTCAGCAAGCATTAAAAAAATCATTTGAAGTAAGTGCTTAACTGAAAAACTCTAACCTTAAATAATAGTTTCACTTTAACAAAGAATTAAATTTTGTAGGAATTAAATGGTCCAAATTTAATAAACATAATGATCAATCCTCAAGCTGATCGCAAAGAACAACAATATACTTGGCTCACAAAGTCTAATCTTTGAAATGTCAATTTACCAGATTTAAATAATCAATTTAAAATAATCAATTACCGGGTCTTATAATGGTATTTATGGAAATATTTATGGCAAATATAAAACTATAATTTTGTTTAAATTATAGAAAAAAAAAATAAGTACAAAACTGTAATATTACAATACAATTATTTATTAGAATGAATTATTAGCTATTTTATGGAATCTTGGAAAATCTATTTATAACTGGTACAAGAGGATTTATAATATCTGATCCATTTTCACTCTCCAAAATATTACTATCTTCATTATTCTCTTTTTCTTCTTCAATTGCAGATAAATCTATACCTTTTTCTTCAAGTATTTTCATTAAGTTCTGGTTTGTATGTATGACTGCTGAGCAGAAATTTCCATTTTCTTTTACAAGGTCATTTATTATGTCCAATTCTCTCTTTCTACAAATTAAAGAGCATCGTATTACCAAATGTTAACAATATTACATATAATTTAGTATTATTACATTTTCAATGTAATTTTCCAAATGTTTGTTAATGCTTCTTCAATCAATGTTTCGTTAATATCACTACTACTTTCCTCTTCAAACATGTTTCTAAAAAAAACATAAGAAGTAGAAGAACAATTTCTTTTTTATTTTATCGAAATAAAAATTTTGTATTGAATATATCCATTATACGTGATAATAAGAAATCAAATTGAGGTTAATGAATATATTTTCAGAAATATAGAATAAGTTCTTGATAATATATATTTACATACAACTTCTCCCCAAAAACTACTTGTTTGAAAATTGTAAAAACAGTTTAACTTTCACATAATTTAAACTAATAATATTAAAATTATTCATTGACTACCAACCAACCAATCAGTTCATTGCGAAATTTAAGAATATTATTGGTTATTCACAGTAGGTTCACAATAATTTTCTTTGTTAAAAATATATGAAAATATTACTTATCTCTTTTTTAATAGTTATCGTGAGAGTATTATTCTACTTAATATTTGTAAGTTGTTTTCTTTTGATAATCTAAAAAAAAATATATTTATTTCTATGAAATGTTACTTAAGAATCATAATAATGGACTACCAATAACAATATAGGAGTTCGTTGATTGGTTTTCTCTCGATAAGCAAGGATATGACGTTAGTTGCAGTCGTGTCGCATGAAAGAGAACCTTAAAATTGTAAATTATCGTAAAGAGACATGACATCGAAAACATTCGGCGGAAAGCAAAGAAATGAGACAAAACGTATTGTAACGTTAATAAGTGTAAACCCGTGAAAACTTACGATAAATAAATTAAAAGTTTAATTTCTTTGTAATAAATCTACAAATGTTCGCACAGTTTGTTCGATATTTTGATTGTACATTTATTCTTTGTATCAGCTGATGAATTTACTATAACGTGAGGAAAGTTTTAAAAAATTAATATTTATACATTTCATCGACAGAAATATTGTCATGGCAGACCTCCTAGAGGAATTAAATGGTGATCAGACTGAAAAAGTTATTCAATTTCAGGTAAATGAATGTATTTTTCTATGTTATAATACAAAGTACTAGTTCTAGTTACAGTATTAAATGTACCCATTATTTATAGGATTTGACAGGAATAGAAGATTTATCTATTTGTAGAGATGTTCTGCAAAGGCATAATTGGAATTTGGAAGTGGCTGTTCAGGTATTAGCGAATACCGTCCCAATAGAAAATTGTTCATTCTTTAATCGCTTAGTCCACAATGAAAAAACCTTATTTTATGTTATGGTAGGAACAATTAAATTTATACGAAGGACGTCCTTCAATGTATGCACAAGATTCACGATCAAGACCACCACAAGTCGTTGACGATAGTAGTTCTAGAATATATTTTAACCATGCTGCTGGTTCGAGTGGTGGAGGAGGTGGTCTCCTACCTTATATCTTTTCTATGTGTTATAATATAGTAAGCAGTATCTTGCAGCTAGTTCTAGCAATATTTAGATCAGAAGTCAGGCCCAGTATGTATAACAAACATAGTTGAAACATAAAATTAATACGTAATTGATAATTTAAATAATTTAAACATTAAATATACCTTTTTCTTCAAGTTTCTTCTGATCCAGTGGAAGATGTAATGACATTCATTAGATCTTATGAGGAACGTTATGGCATTACCCATCCTGTATTTTATCAGGGTTCTTACAGTCAGGCTCTATCTGATGCCAAACAAGAGTTAAGATTTTTGTTAGTTTATTTACAAAAAGATGAGGCCCAAGATACTGATCAATGGTGCAGGTAATTTTTGTAGCAAATAAAATTAGAAATAATTGAGCTGTTTGCAGGCCAATGCTATTAACTCCTTTTAGAATTTTTAAAAGTTTTATTAATTAAATCACTTGATTAATACTCAACTTTTTATATTTAAAATAAATTTCTTTAATTATTAGACTTAACATCACTAAATGATAATTTTTGTGACTATTCAATAATAAATGATATAACAATGTATATTACTTTATCAAATTTTTCTATTGTTTTGTATTTTGGAGTTAATCATTTTGGCAAATGAGTGACTTAATTTATAATAATATATATATGTTACTGGAATAGTAGAAAATCAGGCAATGTTAACAATTCCCCGGCATTGCCTTCAATGCAAAGCGTTTTTTAACAACGTAGGAAACAGAAGAATTGTTACAGACTTTTCCTAAGCATTGGACATAATACTTAGACATTCTATAGAACACCAAATGCTATTTAGGCAATATTGAAAAGAATACATTATCAGGCAACAGACACACATACACAACCACCCAAATTTAACACACATCCTGCTCCCACACACACACACACAAAAGCAAGCATGGAGCGGGTTTCTGAGACTGTACGTACCGCTATACTATGTGCACCTCTATAAACTGAAACTTAATGTCGGTGTTTTATTATGTAGGGCCTGCTATAACTTATCGTAGTAGAAGATTATATTACGTTTAGACCGATATTCGTGAGATTATTATGGAAAATCTGTATGTTTTGTTCCTTATTGTATCGGAAGATAAGCAGGTTTATAACGAAATGTTTCATATCTGCTGTTTTACTTTACCAGTTTCTCATTTGTCATTCTACAGAATTTCTAGAAAATGTGAGAGATATAAATACATTTTTTACGTTGTCCAAGAATGCTTTGCATTGAGGACAATGCTGGGGAATTGCTAACATTGCCTGATTTTCCATTATTCCGGTAACATATATAGTAAATAAGGAGCGAATTAGATACAATAAGCAAGTTATTTTTTTAAATGATTAACATCAAACAAGTTTTTACTCTAGAAATACATTAAACGATCCTGAAGTTATACGATATATAAATACTCATACACTATTTTGGGCTTGTAATGTACAATCTGGAGAAGGCTATAAAGTTGCAGAATCTCTTAAATCTGGTTCTTATCCTTTTCTGGCTATTATCGTTTTGAAAGACAATCGAATGACGATAGTTGGACGGTATGTAGCAGAAATAAAATTCTTGAGAAATATACTTAATTTATCATAAAACATAGCTAGCAGTTCAGGCTTATATATTTTTAAAAATTAATTTTCTAGGATGGAAGGTACACCGTCTGCTACTGATTTAATATTACGTTTACAAACAATTATTCAACAGAATGAAATTAATTTAATTCAAGCACGTCAAGATAGGTAAAAAAAAAACTTTTAATCACATGGAATTGGCTAATTATTAAAGTAACAAAATTTAATATAACTATTTATGGATTACAGAGCAGAGCGTAGTGCTGCACAGTCATTACGTCAACAACAAGATCGTGCATATGAAGAATCATTACGTGCAGATCAGGAAAAAGATCGTATAAGAGAGGAAGAACGTAGAGCTCGAGAAGAACAGGAGGCACGTGAAAAAGAACAATTGAATGCGCAGGAGCAAGAAATAGAAAGAATTCGTCTTGAGAAAGAGCTTACTGTGCAAAAAATACCTGTAGAGCCAGAACCTGCTAATCCTAATGCTTGTCACCTACAAATTAAATTGGGAGAAAGGACAATGAAAAGGCGATTTCTTATGTCTGACACAATTGAAGTAATATGATATTTGCTTTTTTAATTGTTAAGTTTAATTTTGCAAGAATAATATTAATGACTAATATATTATTTATAGGACGTATATCATTGGATATTTAGTCAACCGGATTCCCCTGCAAGTTTTGAAATAACAACGAGTTATCCTAAAAGAATTCTATATCCATGCAAAGATATCTCAACTTTATCATCGGCTGGCTTAACCCATAGAGAAGTTTTGCATGTTAATGATTTAGCTGACTAACCTTGATTATATATATATATATATATATTGATATATATATATATAATTCAATAATTCATTCTTAATATTTTAAGTATCATTTCGATAAAACGATGATACTATCACAAGAGAAACTTATCAAAAGATTATAATGTATATGTATATGTATATGTATATGTATATGTATATGTATATGTATATGTATATATATATATATATATATTTGATACATTCTAGTATTTTATGCAAAATTCAGTCTACTGAAATGAGAAAATAATTATACAACAATTCATTATATGAACAGTATGATAAAAAGATAAGAATTGAAAAGGTGTTCGTTATGTTATAATTTTGGAGAGAATTATTGGTATTTACAAATGTGGTGGCCATAATTAATATATTCTTTGAAATATTTAACTAGAAAAAGATTTAATTTTTTTGAAAAATTTAGGAATAACGTTTTTGTTCACAGTACAGATAAGTAACAGTATTTTATTTTAAATCCTTATGCGTTACTACCATGTGATTTAAAAGATTGATAAAGGAAAAGATTTATGTACAATTCAAGGAGAAGTATTTTCCAAATCATATTGGTCGTACATAAAATATAAGACTATGTAACGCAAATAGCATTTTATAAAAATAAAGAATATCTTGATTTAAATGGGACTTAGTAATAAAAAGATATAATGTGTGTTGGGTTATACACATTATGTTTCTGTTTTATTAAAAAAATAATAATTTTAGTATTTAGTTGGCATTTATACTATTATGTACAAAAACAATGCTAACACCATTGGTTTTATTGCATTTAAATATGATTTAATAAATCTGTAACACGTTTCTACATTGCTTGTTATTATGCAGATAAAAATGGTATTTAAACAAAACTAACTTTACTGCATATGAAATTTATGCAATTATCCGCATGGCTATGTAAATATATTAAATTACAAGAAAGCAGAATGTTTAAGAAAGGTATAAGTTATTTTATAGCTTTGTATATTGGTTGTATAAACCAAAAAAAAGTAAACAATTAGAATCTATTTAAATAATTCATTATATACTTAACATAACAGCAATGTTGACCTTTCTATTAGTTTTTTTTTTATTTATATAAAATATGAAATTATAAATGAACGAATAAGTGTGTTACATTTTCTTAATTTATTGCACAAAAAACTGTATTGAATGGAATAGAGATGCATTCTTAGCATTTATATACGATATATAAACTTATCATAAAGAAAAACATATTTTATGTGTCTAAATATTTCATGTATTAATTTTTTTTTACATTCTTGCTTTCTACCGTTTCAAATATTTAACGTATACGTAAGTATATAAATTTTAATAACTATAATAAGTACAATTAACATTAAAAAAGAAATTTTATATATATTTTATATCCAATAAATGAATTGGAAAATTATATTAATTGCAAATGGGATTTAAATAAGGATAATTAATATGATTTGATGTTTTTTTTAGTAAGATAATGCGCATAAGGATATTATAAAAAAAATTTGGGTATCTTTTCGTTATTCAATGTTTAATGATAATATTACTAATTAATATATGAAATTATGTTGAATTGTTAGGATTGCTTCACGTTATATAAATTTGTGCATAACTCATATAGTAATTTTAAGATTATATTTTTTACATTTTATTTGATGCAATTAAATCAATATACCATTCCTCAAATTTCTAGTCTCATCGCACTGGAACGTGCTTTGCGATTAATACTTTATGATTTAAAAAACTATTTATATATCAAAATATCAAATGTTAATAAACACACTCATCTATCTAAATCATGTAATTTCCCGATATTTATAGTATTTCCCATGTATTTATTATAATTTTATATCAAAAAGGTAAGAAAACAGTTTCTTTTACGAATTACAGTATAAATAAATAAATAAATAATTAAGTAAAAAAAAAGAAAAAAAATATGTATGCTGAACAAAATACATGGTTAAATATCTGGAAAACACCACAATTTGATACTTTAACGATTAATTTCATTTCGCGAAAAATTATGGAAGATATAAATAATAAAATTTTAATAGTTATAAACTTTGTCATATCAAATACTTCTATACATATATAATATCAGGCATTTTTTTCTGGATTTTACAATGTATTGCAATAAAAATTATAAATTTGATAAAGAATATAATAAAAAAGCAATATTGCATTTTTATCGCATAAAACTATTTAAAAAAAAAAGAAACCAATAATATTAATAATAATGGAGTATGTACTTTTTGATATCTTATTTAGTATGAGGTCTTGTCTTTGCTTTTTCTTTTGACCATTGTGCATGACTGTGAGCACGCAAACTATTAAATACCTTATTATTTAACTTTACATCAAATCCAGCTGTGTCTCCTGTCTCAATACCAGGTGGAAATTTAAAAACCCTGCATGCATTTATTCTCGAAGACATTAACATATCATGCTTTGTTACAATCTGTGATCCTTCACCTACTTTTTTGTAGCCACAACGGGGTATCGAAGCATACTCCTTCTCTATGCTCTAAAATATTTATTCATTGTATCACTGCTTATTATAATTATTTGTAGTATTTTTTGGTAACCTATAAATAAAATTCATTGTATAATTACTTACTACAAAACGATCAAAATCTTCATTTGTATTATCAGTATCTGTTTTTCTTTCATCAGGTTCCTCAAATGAAGACATTCGATAGTTAGAATACGAAATATTTACTATGACAGAAACATTGATATAATTAATATATAATTTGATATAAACCAAAGCGATATAAATTAGATAAATATATATGTATATATAAATGGTAACCTTTGGAATCACGGTTAACCTTCGTTTCAGTACGCTTTAACATAGTATCATATTCTTGATTATATTGAGCTTGTAATAGCTGTGCAATTACTGCATCATTATCAGTATCACTTGGTTCATATGTATCATATATTTTTGTAATTTGTTCTTTTTTTAAAGAGTCTTTGCATTTTTCAAACTCTCTATGTAAAAGAAATTTAGTATAAAGTAAGATATATATATTTTGCTAGATGTCAAAATATTTTTTATATAAATCAATACAATTACCTTTTTTGTAAGCTTTCTGCAAGTTGATCAGAAGTTATTTCCGATAAACTGAGAGGTCCTTCGACAGATTGAATTTTTCTCCACGGTGAAGTCATTATCAGAATATGATATTTATGTAGAAATCGCTAAACACATAATAAACTCCTTTTATATACATCAAATTGCAACTATTTACGAAATAGATAAGATATTAATCATTTCTAGGTAAATAAATGAAAAAGGTTAATATGTTTATATTCTGTCACATGATATTGAAATCATTACAAGATTAAATATCGATATCAGTTGCGATAAAAAGTGTAATTCTCAAAACATAATTAGTAATTATTCTATGAATTTAAATGTATATATATTTATAAATATAGAAATATTTTGTTTTACACAATAAACTTACCACTGAAAAGAAGAGTTTTTATAACAAAACGTAAGATTATAATACGTTGAGAAATATGTTTGAAAAATTGAGTATAATATAAAAATAGAATCACTCGTTGACTTTACACAAGTATCAAATCTAAAGTATACGGTAATAAGGAACTGCCTACAAGTTTAACTTTGTGCCTAGATAGTTAGATGGAGCGCAATATAATTTATTTTGTACAATATTTATATCGACTATACATATAAATACTGTTTATTTGTGACAGTTGGCACCCGCATAAAGGGGGAATCCCTTTACGGATCTCTTTGGCTACAACGGCCGGCTATTTCCCTATTTTTGTTTAATATGTTTTCTTATTGGTGGAAAGACTATAATTAATAATTTTATGCATAAAAGTAAAAAAGAACAAAACACGTCGAACCAGTATCTAATACTTTATTTATTTACTATATTAAATACAGTATACTTTATTATTACTGTAATTGATTGTGAAACGTAAATACATCCATCATAAACGTAGAGATTTTAACTACAGTGTCACAAAGATTCTATTTCGTGAATCTTGAGAATATTAAAAGTAGGTATAGATGGAATGTATGTACCATTCCATGTATTTCCTTGAAAGATTATTATTACAAATGGATAGTACATTCATCTGTAGCTTTTTATAATTTGACGTTGGACATGACTCCACTTATTTCAACTAGATAGAGCCATAATTTGACGCTGAAAATCAGCGTCAAGCGTCATAATGGGGATGCATCAAAGAATACAGAAGTACATTGAAGCTCACAAGTCCCCTTTTTTATCTACCCAGTTTCATTTTAGTTACTACCGGGACCACCAGTGAGCGATAATAGGTAGAGTACTGTATTCTTTGATAAAATTGTACCGCTCTTTGATAGATTATACTGTTCTTTGATAGTATTATACCGTCATCGCATTAAGTACCTACTATCGCCTGCTAGTGGTTAGGTTAGTAACTAGAATGAATCTGGTTAGAAAAAAGTGGATTTGTGAGCTTCTATGTACTTTATTCTTTGGAATTACTAATATAAAACTTAAAATAATTTTTAAAAATTATTTTCTATTAAATGTATGTATTGTGACTGAAATTTTCTGTATGATAAGTTTATATTCGGTTAAATCTCACACATAAGATAAAAATAACAATTTCTCTACTGATTATTCAAACAATGTTTATTGTCTGTTATCTTTCTTACCAACGTACGGTATGATATATTGCAAGCTCAAGAGAATATCTAATTTTATATATGATTCTTAATATGTATCGATAATATTTAAATGTGTATATTCTTTTCAAAAGTTTGATTTTATAATTAATTCGTATATTTATAAACGTTGATTTGTCACTGTTGTACTAAAGAAAATATAGTTTGAATAAATGTATTTTAGCTTTGGATTATTAAGAGTACTTGGTGACGACTCTCGATGTAAAAAAAAAATTTATAAATAAGGGAGAAATCGACGAATGAAAATATTTAGTTTTTCAATTTAACGTGATTATCTAGTAAATACATTGGAAATATACACAGCGAATAGATAACGTTATTTTCGAGATGACTTACTGCTTCTATTAGCGCAGATGCGTAACGAATATATTCATTCGTACGTTATGTACTGAAATATTTTCAACCCTTTGATTTTATTTCGGTTTCTTCAATTACATCGTTATCCTTTTTAGAAAAAATAACGCTCAGTGGATTTCTCATCGTTCTATTAGTAGTTTCATAAAACAGTTGTTAAAAAAATATAAAACAACTATCAAATAGTTCCTTCAACCAGTAAGTTATTATATGATTAACGAAAATATATTCGTCATGGAGAAATGACAATATTTTGTGTTATGACGAATATACATGTTATGCGGATAAAGTAGCCGTAAAATTACCATTTGCTATTTATCGGCTAGCTGTTATGATCTCTTCGAAAAATGTATCTAAATTATGCCGCAAAAATGAAGTGATAATAAAATATTATTATTTTTCATTAATTACACACACACACAGCTAACTGGTTAATAATTTTGTAACTGTAAAATACATGAAGATTGTCCCTTTACCTACGGAGAGGCTGGTCGTGGCGCTGTGTCGCTAATATGGACTTAGATTATTAAAAAAAAATGCGTATTGAAAGAAACGCGCCTATAAAAACAAATAAAGTAACTTTAAATTATTTATACAATGCATACAAATTTTTAAATCAGGAAAATAAATGAGATAAAATTAAAAAAAAAATGTCTTGATTAAAAAGCCACTTTAGTAGTGCATTGTATAAAGTGTATAAATAAGTTCCCGTGATCAATTAGAAATAGTAAGAAAACACATATACCTGCGATATTCTATTGTTTAATTAGCTTCTATTAGTTAAGATAATAACTTTACTTGTTAGTAGTTTAATATCATCTTGTGATTATAAAACTAATTAAACATTTTATTGTAATTAAACATGGAAGCTGTCAAGTGTTTATAAATAACAAACGAGTTAAAATATTTTCCCAAAATAACGATATAAGAATGAAATAGTAAGAATGTATAAATAAATATAGAAAGTTATTTAAAGAAGATATTTGAATATATACATAATATAGCATATTTAAGAACAATTTTCTTTAATTCCTTTTATGTGTGAGAGTTTTGATAACTTCCGGCAGACTCCTAACGGTCTTTCATCAACTTTTTCTTTGTGGACAAGATTCTCCCATAATGAACGTATTTCAAAACGTATGGTATTAGATAGAAAAATAAAAAAAGAAACTAGCTTACTGTGGTACTGTAAAATTTTCAACGAAGGACGGAGACGAAGCCAAGCATCGATGCTTCTTCTTCCGTGAGTATAGATACTCGTTCCTTCGAGTAAAAAGATAAAATCCACTTAACATGATTGAGATAGGACGAAGATGACGTAGTCGTGAGGTTCGTCTAAGCTTTCTGCCTTTCAAAGCGGAGTTTGCATGCTCCTTAGTTTACGTGTTGGTAGCGCCGAGTTAGTTATTGGCAAATCAAGATTCAAAGGAGTACACCTACAACGCTGCTGTTGCTGTACTTTCGTGCAACTCTGAATAAAAAGATGAAGATGGAAGTGGTTAAAGAGGTGGTGGAAGTGGAGAAGAAGGAAAAGGAAGAGGTGGTAGATCTGGAGGTGGAGTTTGACGAGGAAACGAATAACTTTCTCGTGTATGTAAGCTTCTTCCTATCGGAATGCTTTGATAAGAAGAAGCCATTTAGGGGTTGAAATTAACCCTACTAGGAAATAATCGATATCCAGTTAATGTTACTATTGCAATCACAAAAATTGCATTTAGAATCCTAATCATTAATATCTTTTATCTTATGTGTCTGACAATAGAAAAAAACATTAGATATAGATGCTGAATAATTATATTTTTTTTTGTTCATTGGTAATTAAAATCTTTAAATCGTTCGTGCGAATTCTTATATAGACACAATCTTTGAATTACTTTGTACGAGTTAACGACTACTGGAGAATTAAGTGGTTTACTTTTCTTTCTTTTAATTGCTTCTCGCTCGTAATTACACACTTAATTATATTCAGAAAAGAGTAAAAAAAAGAATGAAAGAGAAAGAAAGAGAGAGAGAGAGAGAAAAAGAAAGAAATAAAAAAAAATGAAAGAGAAATAAAAAGAAAGAAAGCGACGAAATGTTGATCTTTAACTTTGATAAGGCGAAAGAGAAAATAAAGACTGACTTGTAATTTCATTGATAAAAGAATTATTGATGTTTTCAATTGGAAATTTATCATACAAAATATCTAATAAAATATATGAAAAACAAAAAAAAGAAATTATATAAAATATATATAAAATATAATATCATATACGTGGGTGTATTTTCAAGTTGACTCATGTGAATATTAGTTAGTTAGAGCGAGTGTGGAAGCGAAAGATAGAAAAATAGAAAAATAGAAAAAAAGAAAGAGAGAGAGAGAGAGAGAGAGTAGATGGATATTGGATGAGAACGAAACGCGTGGAATTCTCAGGCATTAATAGACATTCAGTTGTAAAGACAAGCCTCGCCTTCTTCATGAATCGCAACGTGCGTTGTCGTGGTCGTCATCTTTCTTGTCGTTATCGTCATCGCCTATGGATTCCACGAATGCGAACTTTTATATAACGTTCAACGAGAAGTTCCGTTTATTTATGTAATACATTCTGCAGAGCGCTACGAAATGAGCGCTTCGTTGCTTTTGCGACTTCCGGTTAAGAACGCGAATACCTGAGCAATTCGTTATTCATTCGGCTTTGTAATTAGCATCACCACTCGTTCTGGAAAAGTATTTCTTTTTTCTTTTCTTTTTTTTCTTTTCTTTTCTTTTTAACAATATAGTAATATAGTTACAATGAATACTATACTTTGGCGTGAACATTTAAAAAGAGAAACTCGATCGAAGTTCCTCCCTTCGATACATACTTTTCAATTGTCTTTATACTTTGCACAAAATAAAAAAAAAGAAAAAAGAAAAAATAAAGTATCGTATCCACTCGTTTCGTGACTAACTATAATAACGTACGGATGAATCGTTTTGACGATTGACTATTATTTTATATTGTACAATCGACGATCCGTATTTAAAAAAAGAAAGAAAAAAAACTAAGAAGAAAAAGAAGAAGAAAAAAAAAACTAGACCGCTCACTTTGTTTCTCAATCATTCTAGTGTATCCATTCTGTATAAGTGCATTCTAATTCACTAAGCGAGAGAGAGAATGCCAAGTTCCAGGAACGTAAGATGTTTAAGATTAGATACTTAAGAAAGTTCAAAGTCGCTAAATCGAAGGATACCTGTGTCTAGGAAAAGGAAATGTACTTTCGCATGATTTATTCTTATCGGCATTGGTCTACGCGGATGATCTCAAAAGCAAAGAGTATTGAGTATATAGTACTGACATCATCCACGAAAGGAGGACTATTAATATAGTATATTCAAGAGAGCTCTGGTAGAAATATTCAAACTACACTCGAGAAGAGGACTAAGCTCTCGTAGCGCATAGACTGCATATGCTTACATAGAGAGAAGAAATAGGGAGGGTGGTAGGGGGGAAGGGGAAAGAAAGAAAGAAAGAAAGAAAGAGAGAGATAGGTACACCTGCACGATGTAAAGATAAGAAGGGAGAAAAGGATGGGAGAAGATCCGTGCCACTCGGTCATTGGTGAATGTACCG